TGTATACTATGTTGTGTATAATGTAACGTATAATGTCGAATTATAAATACAATGATTTAATTCACAATTGTTCGCGTTAAAGTATATATATTCGAAATTTTGAATAGATAAATTTTTTTTACTTATTTTCTAGATAATATATTTGACAAGTAGAATCCAAATATATTAATTTTAATCTCGGATATTATATTATAATTTTATAGGTTACTTCGGTCAATGATTACATTCATAATCCAATCAATGAGAAAAGTTTATTATTTTTAATGTCATGTACATATATAATGTATAATATGTATATGTTTAATTTTTTTCTATATCTAATAATGTTGATAAATAAATTGATTGTTACAAATAATAATAATTTCAGAAATAAATAATTAAAATAAGAAAAACTAAGGAATTAGAACAAAAAGCTATATTATTCTTTTTCTTTTAGTATTTTTTCGTTTTACTATTGTTTTTTTCTTTCATTATTATTTAATACAATAATATTTAAATCATCATTTATATGGAATGATAAAATAAAATTCTAGTAAAAATAGATCAAAAAGAAATATTTTTATAAAATTTTTACATTATAAAAAATTAAAAATAATATAAAATAATTTATCATCAAAAATTCATATTATTTTTAATAATTTTTCTAATCCTAATATAAAAAAAGAAAAATTAAAAAATTATATATTCAAAAATTTTTAAATTCTCATTAATTCTTCATTAAATAAATAAACATGAAAAAACATGAAATTCGAAATCCTATCTTATTCTTTACAGGCAATAACGATATAAAATAATAGCTAGCGAAAGATTAAGAGGAATTAAAAGCCCAATAATTCAAATATTTAAAGAAAACGATTTATTATTTCAATGTGAAATTATTCGTTTCACCGATTCTAGGGAGATTCCTTCAATGCTAAAGATGACTCCCAAGCATATACCGCGAGAAGAGCTCAAGCGTATAATACGGATAAATACTGTGTAAGTAGGAGAAACAAGGGTCAGGGTTTTGGCGGTTCGTGGTAAATCCGACGTATGGTTACGGCCCTGACTTTGCCCTTCGGTCATTATTGTCTGTCGGAGCGGTCGCCACATTTTCTCACGCTACTTCAGCTGCTTCTTATTCGCGGTGCAATGATCTCCCTTTCGTATATTGCCCGCACATCTGCCTCAAAATTACATCCTGACCGGGTCTGCATTTTTATTTTTCTCCCACTTTTCTCTCCCCTTCCACTTCTCTTCCATTGTCGAATCTCCAAAGATGCGTTCAATCAGCGAGGAAAGTATATTTACTTTCGTGATTCTGCGAATTGATCGATTATTCAGATACTTCTCGTCACTTAACTCTCGAACGAATCACTTTCGATCGAAAATTATCCGCATCACGTGCGATCCAGTTTATGAACGTTTTATACGCAGGATGCGATCGAAAGTAATATTTTTATTTTGGAATGTGATAAATTGATATTATTAAGATATTATTTTATATTTACAGCAAAAATTTTTTTGTGCAATAATTATACGTATTTATTTGAATTTGTCAAATTATAACTTTTTTTCTTTGATGAGTAATAACAAAGTTAACTTTTTCTTAAACTATTCTCGATTCCAGATCGGACAGAATATATAAATTCAGAATTATTTTACATCACAATTATTTATTGAATTTACAAATTACATTTTGTTTAATATTTCTTATCAATTACAAAGTTAATTTCTTATTCTCTTTTGAATGCTTTCGTTTTCGCAAAAAGTCAATTTAGCTCGAAAATAGGTCGAAAACGATCAATTCTTGCGCCACTTTCGCTACTAATCACTTTTCAAATGTATATTTCAATGTGTTTCTAATTGATCATTAGTTCAATGTCTGCCATAAGAAAGCCATCTCGCGGACGGAGTTTTAATGAAAAATCTAAAGAATCGCATCATTACCTGCTATCTTTTTAAGGACATTCGCTTCCTCTGGAATCTATATTTGCTTTCGATTTTCATTTCTTTAACCTATATATCGAATCAATTGATCATTTTTAATTCAAAATTAATTGATTGTAATGTGAATTAAAACAGAATTGGTTAAGTTACTTTTTGTTAACTTAACATGCTTGAAATAACTAAAACTACTTTATCGATGAAGTTTCTTATTGATTCGACTTGAAATATTTTTTCAAATATTCCTATGTTCGATTTTAATCGTCAATTAAATTGGCTTAATTAACTTGACTTTAAATCGTTTTATCGAAATAATTCGAGTAATTTGAAATTATCTCATTAATTTAAATCTATTATTTAACTTGATTTGAATATCCTTTCAACTTTCAAATTAAATTTAATAATTCCTTTAATTTTCTGATTAACTGAAAAACAATTATATGCTAATTTAATAATTAAAAATAAAAATTATATTAAATAATTGAAATTTTGCTGCATCAAATAATCATTATCATTTAAAATAAATTATTTTTCCTAAATTCGGGTAAGATCGTTTCCTTGTTGCTTCGTATTTCGAGGTTACTATAAATCTGTTGAAATACGGGATAAGTAGAGTGGGGCAGAACGATAAATCGGTTAAATTCGACTTTATTCGGGCAGAACCGTTTCCGCATTGAGAACTCGAACGTTTCTAACTTATACTTCCGGATTGTCGGTAATTGTATTATTTATATCCGCGTAATTATATAATTTTCGAAAGAAAATCGTTACATATCGATACAAATACATACATTATATATATAGAAATGAATTACGATTAATTGACGATTGGAAGAGATTGTCGACTGGAAAAAAAAAAAAAGAAAAAAAGAAAGAAAGAAAAACGATTAGAATTGAATAGAAAATGATTTTACAAAGTGTTCTTTACTTTCATTTCTTGACAGCTCTCGCTGAAACCGATTCCCGTGGTTTATGGTGTATGCGTGTCTCTCGGTGGCGACGCTTCGTGAGGAACTTAATTCAGCGAATCCGCAAAAGATATCTGCTCGTTACGAGCTCGAACGTGATGTGGCGGATTTTCACTCGTAAAATCGAGAATGATCCACTTCCCTTTTGATGCATGGCCATCGAGTGGCGAAACTTACAACTCTCTCGGTTCTTTCTAATCTAGATAAAAATAGGGTAAAATTGAGATCTGAGCGAATCAAATTGGTACCATTGTTTTTCTAAGATATGAGTTGCGATATAGCAACACGTGATATTAGATTCAACATATTATCTCTGGTAAAATGTTTTGAATTTATAAAATAATAAATGTAGGGAAAAAAAAAATTTTTTTATTTTTTTTTTTACATTATGAAGAAGGATATAGTGAGAGGCAAAAATTGGATATACAGCTAATAACTTTAATAAAAAGTATTTTTAATTAATATATAATTTAATGAAAATATTAATGCTATAATTTCAAAAAGCTTAAATAGTTTCTCTTTTGGCATTTCTCTTTTGATTGTAAAGAGAAAAATTCTATATTGTGCAAAACTCATTTATCTAATTATATAAAACGTGATGTACATTTTATTCAAATTCTTTAAATGTAATAACATTGAATTTCTAATAAATTAAGAAAATAATTATTAATAATATAAATTTATTTTTTATATTATAATTTATTATTATTTTTAATTTATAATTTATAAATTATAATTTAAAAGAGAGTTAGGTTAGATCAAATTAATTCTGTACTCTTATTTTATTGCTTGCTTTCTAATAACTTGTGCAATAGTAATCACAATTAGATCATAAATTATCTTTTATCATTTATCTTATTTTTTGAATTATATTCACTCTTATTTCCTTTAAAAAGTATAATAGAAAAGAAATAAAGAAGATTTCGAAACTAATATCATGATATCATTTGTTGAATAAAATTTAGTATATATTTGCATTTAACGAGTTTAAAGAAAAAATTGCATTGAAGGATAATAGATATGAATAATATTACAAAACCATATTTTTGTCGCATGCTCGGGTGCGAAAAGTGGTTGAATCACCGTAAAGTAGCAGATCTTCACAGCGATTAAATCGATAACGATCGAGAACCAGGTTTTGGGAATTCTCTAGGTCGTAACAAAAGAAAGTAACCGGAAGAAAGACACGAGTTCCAGTTGATTATAAATCACGCGAGGTATCTTTTTGACCTGCATTCTTTTCAACTGTTTCGAGGAATTGTAATTTTGAATAGAATTCCGAAGTTCCACGAACTTTTTTAAAGGAAGAAAGCTTATATAAACGTATAACGATTAGAAATTTAACTATATCGATTAAGTTATCGAAAAATATCGATAATATCGAAATTCGATATATTGATAATATCGTTACAACAAGTGAAATAACTTGAGCAAAACTTAATGTGATTAACAATAAATAATTAGTGAAAAATAAATTTTTAATCACATTTAAGTATATTTATATTTACGTTTTTATTTTATTTTTAATTACAATTGATGACTAAAATATTTATTAATGCGATTTATTAATTGATATAATTTTCATGTTTATTGTTCTGTATTTTCAACAAATTTTTCTATTAAAATAAATTTTTCTTATTTAACAATCATATGTTTAAAAAATTAGTACAATAATAAATATGATAAAAATTGTTTAAATAAATCGGTTAATAATTAATTAATCAATCGATTAAATTAAATCAATTTCAATTTTTTTGACGATTAAATTTTTGAATTATATATTTTGATTAATGAGTTTGATCAAAAATTAACGTCATCAATGGATCTATTAATAAATGTCATCAATTGTATTAACGATTCTTTGGCGAAATGATCAATTTGTGGAAAAAATAGTATATTTGAAATGATTACCTTTGGAATTGGAACAACGATGCTTTCTACAATAATTTCTACGACAACCGATGGACGTATCCACGTTAAACGATGAGATATTTACGATCATTTATTCGATCTAATATAGTATTCTCTACGTTCAATTAAAAAATTTGGTTTAATATGATAAGAGCGCATTGTTTACTTTACCTTGAAGGCATAAAAGATAGGTATATGGCGGTTGATGCCGCGTATTTTTCTATCCGATTAGCAGCTATGCGAAGCCTTACGCAAAAGTATATACAAGTTGCCTGTTTGATACGGTTTTCGCCCGGAAATACTTCAGTACAATCCGCGGCAATGTGCGAAGAGGTTTCCATCAGGGAGAGAATCGCTTTGTTGGAGGGTGAATAAAAAACTTGACCGCAGAGATCTACCGATTACCATTTTAGTTTTTCTTTCTTCACGATTAAATGGTTATCTCGAATCCACTATCCCTTTTTTCAAATTTTTTTCTAATTTTTTACTTGTAAAATTATTTACTTTTATTTTTTATTATTACTCGAAATTATGAAATTAATTTTCAAACATTTTTCTGCTGCTATTATTTAATCTTTCATAATATCTTTCATACATAAATTCGTTTTTCCGCTCGATGTAAAACATAGATCTAATGCTTTTCAAATATTTTCCATCTCTTTCGCATCTTTATTATCGTACGTTTCTGATTGGTTAGATATATTAGCGATACGGTAACATTATGTTCCATGAATATCCACCTAACTACAATCAATCTTCAAACATCTTTGCTATCATAAATTTATATTTATGTGATTTGTTCTTTTTTAGGACGAAAGATGGCACCAGTGTTGGGTGTACCACCTCCTCCACCACCTGCTCCTCACATGGGACCAGATGGATTGATCTTGCCGAGAAAACCGTATAATCCTTACCTTTCGTCCACGAATCACAAAGATCTTCGAAGGGAATTATTATTCAATCAGAAAGTGTAAGCTTCTTTTAATCTATATTTATGACATGGAATCTTTTAAGCATTGAATTATGTTAGCATAATTTTGTACATACGATAGAACATCTTTGTGACACGTTATATATGGTATCTGTGAATATTGATATATTATTATAGCATATCGAAAGATTCCAAAGAAGTGATAGATATATTTCATCTGCATTTTAAGAATATAATAAATAATTTATAACTGACTTACGTCATAATTTAAGCAAAAGTATTATTTTTATCCTTGACATGTCGCGAAGTACGAGCAATGAAATCTAAAGTCAAATATCCATGAGATAAATTAATGCAAATATTAACGCAAAATATAATTTTTAACATGTTCTTAAATTTCTTAAAATATATTATTAAAACAAAAATATTTTTTTTAATATTTAAATAATGATTTTTAGTTTTTTATTTTTTATTTGCATACATATATATGCATATATATATATATATGTGTATAATAATAGAAAAGAGACTCGCACTTCGCACGCCTATCATCGAGAAAATCGTTTCCTGTTAATATATTCCCTGTAATTCATTCCCAGTCACTTTTATGGTTTAAACAGGTCCGCTATTCAATTGAAAGGTTGTTCACGCGCATTTTTCTCATCGTAGCAATTTTCACGCGCAGCCCATAATCTTTGTCGGCGAGATACGTTCCCCGCATAATTAGCTAATCGATTTTCACTTTCTTCCAGTGGCAAAAACGTGCTAAATCAAAAAAGCGAGCTTCAACGAGCGCTCGAGAAACAGAGGGAAGCTGCCTCGAGGAGAGAAGCTGAAAGAAATCGAGAGGAGAACTACAAAGACGATCCCCGAACTGCTTTACAAAGAGCAATCGAGCAAAGGGCAAAGCATATTGAAATGGCAGTTAGTATCTTTTTCTATCTTTTCTATTTTTATTTTTATACAAAACGCTTTTCTTCTTTTTAATTAAATTTTTACATCTTTCTGATATTTCGATTTTTCAGCTGGAACAATCCCAACCGATGGAGCCACCGAGCAATCTTTTAATAACAGCGAGAGCAAAACTAAGACCGCGCGCAGATTCACAATGAAGTTATGTAAAAATAAAGAAAGAAAGAAAGATTGATTTGTGAAATACGATAAATTTAATATCGTATGGGTTAGCGATAATCGAAATATTACGTCGCAACTCTTGAGCCAAACTTTTTTTGATCATATTTTCTAATTTGACTATGTACATATACTACATTTACTCCGATAACAATTCATTAAAAACAAAATAAAGTTGTACAATTAATTAAAAATTATTGTGATGTGACGTGTTAAATATTAGAAAAACAGAAAATAAGAAAGAATAGAAAAAAAAGAATAGATTTTATCATCTATCATATTTTGATAGATTTATTGGTTTAAAGTATATATATTTAATTATAATGTGTGATACTTCAGTTGTGCGTTTTTCGCGTAAAAGTAGATAATTGCCTTATTCTTCCAAAGTTCTCAGAAAGCGCGAATATGCACATTAGATGATTTATTTCTTCTTCTAAACTAATTAGTCTCGTTAGATATTTTAACGAAGTCTAACGCTTACTTTTCATGAAATTCCATGAAAGTAATTTCCGTGAACTTGAAATAATATATATATATGTACTCATTTGTCGAACAAGGCCTTGTTAAATTTAGGGATTGCAGATTCAAATGTTATAAACGTAATAACAGATTAAGGCCGTAAATAAATCTCAGTAAAATTCAACTTACATGTATATCCATACGTGTCAATGATATAATACAGTATAATGCATTGCATCTTTGTTACGACGTTTAGTTATTGAAGGAGAAATAAAATTGCCGAACCTGGTGATTGAATCGGTTCGATATTTTGTTACGTGCTCTTTTTTCAGAGTTTTCTTATGTAAAAACTAATACCATTAGAATAAGCGATCAGTCATAAATAATATAGACGAGAATTTAAACAGATACTATGAACAAAATGTAATTGTTTGACGATAACTTATCATCGTGCCTGAATTTATACCAATTTAGACCTGAATACGAAGTACAGATATAATTTCATCGCAATAAACGCAGTAGTAGAATTGGTAGCCTGGGACCACCGTACATTTGTAATAACTATATATTAGCAGTTAAATGGAAAACATCTGATAGATTAATATAGCAGCATTTATTAAACTCTAGTGTTCATAATTCAGAAAAGAAATGAAATATATATTGTTGCACTATATTGTTTTAATCAATGTATTATAGAAACGTGATCGTACACTCGAATTTAGTAAGTTTTTCATTGATAATAATACATTAAAGTACATTTATCTTTACTGTTTTGAAAATATAATAAAAATAATTATAATATTTAAAAATTCAAAAATATAATAAAATTCTATGAAAAAAAACTTATAAATAAATAGATATATTATGTAAACATGTGAATTTTAATATTATTATTAAGTGTATTAAATTTTAATTTGTGTAAATTAATCATCATATTGGAACATTTAAAATACTAAATATATTTTATTCAATGTCAATAAGTTTTTTATTTTTATTAATTTGTAGGAAAATAACAAATATATTAAATAAAAAAAAATATTGCTTATAATATTGATTCAACTTGACAATTCGATATTTCATAAAAATATTTTGTCTTATCTATATTGGATTAAAAAATAAAATAAAAAAATATCTAATTTTCATTTTTTTTATATATTTTATAAGATTTCATCTTATCATGATTATAGTCTTTCTATCAATAAAAAGGAAACAATCAATAAAATGTTATTAGAATTGTATAATTAAATATAGCGTTATTAATAATTAACATTTATCATCGATGTGGCTTTACATAAATCAACTTGTACATTCTCAGATTGTGAATATAATGAGTATACGCAATTTAAAACAATAGACATTTCAGTAATCGTCTCCGCGAGAAATAACTTCTTTACATGTTGGGCGTAAAACAAGAGTATGCTCAAATTGAGCAGTGTAACATCCCTTGACATCAACTAAAGGTGGGTAAGCTTCTACTGCGCCTTTATCACATAAATCCTTCAAAGCCATTTGATATTTCGTGCAACCAACACGATCTAACCATCGTTTGCAGAAAGCCAAAGTACCTATAGTGAATACATTTTTTATAATTTATTTTTTAACAAATAAATCGAAATTATTTCGATATTTACCGAAATGTTTATTAATAACGTTGAGTAAAGATTTGCTACTTTGTAATCTTAATGGAACGAAACCGGCATCAAAGCTCTTCATATAATGAGAACAGTCTAAATCATCATGAACAATTCCTCTTCCAGTAGATCCAAAAGTTTCAATAGCATAAAATTCATTTTCTTCCATTCTGGTAGCTTCGCCACCTTTAACTATCGGTACAGTTTTTCCAGCATGGATACGATACGGAGCAATTGAATGACCATTAAGATTTCTTATAGATTTTACCTATATGTATTATAATTAATTCTTAATAATAATGATTTATGGTGACATTGAAAAATTATATGAAGAAATAACAAATATACCGGATAAGTTTTGCCATCTAATTCAATTTCATATGATTCCATAACTTCTTGAATTGCAGCACCAACATCGCATAGTTGAACATCAATACCAGCAGCTTTGATACCTGTATTTGTCGCATCACGAACAGCTTCTATGAGCTTATCATATTTTGGATTGAATGCCAATGTAAATGCACAATCAATAATTCGTCCATTAATATGTGTTCCAAAGTCAATTTTGGTGACATCATCATATTCTAAAACAGTTGGATCTCCAGCATTTGGAGTATAATGAGCTGCACAATGATTTCTTGAACAACCAGTTGGAAATGCTAATCCAGCTTTCAATCCATCTTCTCCTATTAACTTCCTAGCTGTATTTTCTAATTCATTGCAAATTTCTATCATTGTCATTCCAGGTTTCACCTAAATAAATTACATTCTTATATAAAATGTTTTATTTTTCTCTTTTTTATACTTATTTTGCTATTATCACATACCCATTTCATAATATGTTTTCTTGTTTGTCTATGAGCTTCAGCTGCTTGCCTTGCTTCATTATAAATATCATTATGCATTCTATCAAAAGCTCTTGCTTCTTCACTTGAAAAACGTTCTTTAGCTGTTCTATCATCTATTCCTGCAGCAGGTGGATGATCCATTATTTGCCCAATTGGAAAGTTTCCATCTGAAAATAATTCTGACACAGGAATAGTTGGTGGATCTGTTTGTTGTTTAGGACCTTTCCCACGTGATTTACGTTTCTTCTTTTTCTTTTTAATATCTTCTGTTTCTGCATCATTTTCTGTTGCCTCTATATCAACTTCTGTGTATAATATAACATGAATTAAATATTATATATTTAAATGATTTCCTTATATGCTTAAAATATAAACTTAAAAACAAATTACCTTCATCTACAGCATTATCATGTTTTGTTTTTTCTTCTTCTCCTTCTGGAACATCTGCACTAGCTTCACCAGCTCCTATAAAATTGTTTATAGGAAGTTATAAAAGTTCTAATTATACCATATTATATGCTGAATTCAAAAATTATTTATAAATAAAAACATTTTCAATATTATAATCTAATTTTGAAAATTTAATAGAATATTATATTTAATATATAAAAAATTTTTCATATATATAAAAGATAGACAAATAAATTAAATCAAAGCATTTTGCAAAACAAATCTTAGCCATAAAAAAAATGACAACAAGAAGTAAAAACTAATACAAAGTAATTTATTCACTGTGCCATACATAGTCATATAATAACAACTTACATATGTTCATCATTAATTATAATTGAACATATCAAAATTGCATCATAAAAATTGCAATGATAAAAATAATAATAATTATATATTATATACATATGCATTATTTTCATAAATGTAGATTCGGACAAACACATGATTAATCCTTGAACTTGCGTAAACGAGTATACACCCAAAAATACAATAAAATGACATACCAGCTTTCTTCTTCTTTTTCTTCTTTTTTTTCTTTTTAGACGCTTCTACTGCACCAGTTTCATCTTCTTCATCAACAATTTCATCTTTTTCTTCATTTACTAATTTTTCGGCGGATTTGCCGACTTCGTCCAATACGGCAGCCATTTTCAAGAGGAAGCCAAACAATGCTATATTAATCGTAAAGTGGCCAGCCGATAAAGTAGAAATAGCATTTACATACGTGATCTTCCTTTCAAATGCTAATAATAGCATAGATTAATACCGATAGTGTAAACAAAACTTTTTAATTTCTACTATTTAAAATAAAAAATTTATGAATTATATTCAATCAAATTATGATAAAACTTTTAATTTTTATTCAAAAAGAAATTATGAAATATAAAATGCAATGTAATAATTATATCTCACTTTTCAAAAAAACAATATGTACTATTGTAAATTGAATTTAATACTGATATACTATAGATATAATATAATATTATATAGATACTTTAAATTTAATATAGGAAAGAAAATATATATTAATATCAAATAAAAACTTTAAAAATATTATCGAGAGAGAATAGTTTTATAATTGTATGTACAAAGTATTACATAGAAATAGTGATTTAACAAAGTTTTGTTTTGTAACTTTTCTCATAACATTAACTTATGATTAAAAATAAAAATTCTTAATATAGGAATTTAATTTTTGACATGTATAGTCGATAGGTATATATATATAATTTAATAATAATAGTAATAATTTATCCTACAGAAGAAATAATTAAATCGGCAACGTCTGGATCTTGACACAGAACAGAAAGCTGCATCGTTACTTGATTATCCGACAATGCTAATCTTGCTCGTGCAAGAACTTCTTTTCCGCCTCTAAAAATACCACTTAGTAATAAATTATGTGCAGCAGCACCAGATTGTACTCGGTTGGTTCGATCTACGGCATCCAAGCCTAAAAATCCTGTAAGACTTTGAATTGCTCCTTCTAAACTGGTCACTGATGGACCCAAAGCAAAAGTTTCTTCTAGTTTCGCGTATCCTTTCGCAGCAGCTGCATCCCATGCAGCACCAAAATCTAATACTCTATTTCCAATTCCTCGAACTTGATCAGCCAAAGTTATTTCTAAATCTTCCAACTAAAAACCACATATTTTTTTTTAAATTATTAAATATTTTTTTCTTAAATAAGCAAATATTTAACATATAAAAACAAATAAATATTTAATATAAAATTATTAAGAATGTTCTTAATTTTGCTCAATAATAATAAAATTAAGTTTGGAAAAGAAATTTTAAATATATAACAAAAATACCATATATTCATCATTATATCCTTGATCAGCATCTGGAACTCCTGTTGCAGGATCACAATCACGAGCCATAAATCGCAAAGTTGTAGGAATAGTAGCAACACTAGCATGAATATCTTCCGGGTATCTTAATACTGTATATGTTGTGCCAAGTTCATTGTATGGTAAACGTGGACATGGGACTTCACACACAATTACATAGCTAAAAATATAAAAATATTGTATTTCGAAAAATATCATAAATATATGTGAATTATTACCCTTCAGGTGATTCGACAGCGACTCTCACATCTTCAAGTAATTGATCAGAAAGAGTATTTATACAATCGAATTGTAAAACGAGAAGATCAGTGAATGTATGTTTAATGCATTTAACATTATACTCTGTTTCTGATTCTGTCAATTCAAACACAGGTGATGATTTAAGTAGAGAAGAATCGCGAATAATCATTGTCAAATGTGGTATTTGTGATAATTTTTCCATGAAGCTTTCCTCTCGTGTTAATCGAGATTGTTGTTGTTTCACAGCAGTATGTACTTCTACTTGTGCTGGTTCTTCAATTGTTTGTGCTGGTGGAATCTATAAAAATTGATTCGTAATAAATTTGAATAATTAGATTAAAAATTTATATTTTTTAAAAATTTTTAATATTTTGATTAATTACTTGTGAGATATCAAATGGTTCATCCATTGATGTTTGCATATAATTTCGTAAAGCTCTTTCTAAACTAGGTACAGATAAAAGGGGAGGCTGTACTAAGGGTAAAACAGTTTGATCATTTTGTTGCTGTAAAATAGCACAATAATAAGCCGCACGATCACGGACTTCATCATCTGAATCCAATTGACAGCGTGATAAGAGAACCAACACATTTGGCAATAATGGTGAACATGCTGCGGCAAAACGTGCTAACGCAGTAACCGCTGCAGCACGAACACTGGCACTTTCCAAAATGACACGATTGTAAATAAAACGAATATATCGAGATGGCTGTTTTGAAGTTGGTCCTTCCTGACCAAGTAAATGAAGAATGCGAACAGCGAGTGAATTATGCTCGCAATCTTCAATAAATTCACAAAGATGAGCTAGACC